AAAAAACCACAGCGTTTTTAATGATCGGGAAGAAAAAACCATCAAAAGATGTGGGTTTTGAAAAACTGTATCCATCCAGTTGTGTCCAGTTGTGGGTGTTGGATGTGGGTGAATTGACAGAATTTATTGGTCGTTAGTAGGCTTTACTTTTTTAGTAGGCTTTACTATTTAGTAGCCTTAAAATAAATAATAAGTGCATGTATAAATTGGTTTTACTTAGCAAGTTTTTAATTTTAGGTAGACATTATATTTTAGCAAGTTAAAACAAGTAGTAGTCTTTTTGCTTACTGAATTTCAAAAGTTGGAGTTTGTATTACGACCAATAAATTCTGTCAATTCACCCACATCCAAAAACGTTCGATTGAAAAACGACGCCTCAAATAACGCCCCTGCGTTTTGGTTCTGCAGCTTTTAAGCGCTCTAATCTCCCTAACCTAAAAAAACGGAAGCTTTCCAGCATAATCCAAAAGTCCTGCTCCTTGCTGAAGGGCTATGCCGGCACGTCCCGTTAGCGCTGGAGTCGCCTCTGCTCCCGGTTCGACGTCCTCCAGTCCATGCCACACCAGTGCCAGTCAGCGCCACAAAAGCGACAGTGGCTGGCTCAACAACTCGCAGAACCAAAACATGGATAATAGTGGATCTCCCAGTAGCGCCGGCACCCAGGACGAAGATATCCGCTCCAAGCCCGCTCGTCCATCCAGCGCTGGCTCGCAGGGCAGCGCATCGTCTTCCTCCTCCACCCACACGACAATGGAAATCGAGAACCCAAAGCCCAGTAGTAACCAGCTTCCCTCGTTGTCCTCAGGTAGCGCTGTACTGCTACAGCTTCGAGACCGGCAACGCAGCAGTAGTAACTCCCCTCCTACGTCTTTAATGAGAAGTGGAGAGGCCTCGGGACAGAGCAAACCGCCTCCACAGAGTGTAACCAATGCCGGAGGCTCCAGCCAGAACCAGTTGCACTCGTTCCGTCGTGTTAGAGAGGAAGGGAATCCATTGATCCCGGACGAAGACATGGACGAGGACGAGGTAGAAGATGTCGAGGACGAAGAACCGTCAGCCCCACCTTCGCCCAGTGATCAACGGGGCGTTCGTATCATGTTCCACGGCCGCGAGATCTTTGCAGAAGACCTAATAGGTCTACGGGTCGCTAAGACTTTCGCGGGACACGGAAGATTTCTAGGCCAGGTGGTCAGATTTGACAAGAAAGAGTCATTGTATACAGTGGTATACGCCGATGGCGACGCAGAGGATCTGACAGTGGATGGCACACTGCAGATCTTGATCCAGGACGAGATTGAACGTGCAGATCCAGCACAATCACCGCCGTCCATCTCGTTGTTGCTTATGAAAGGTGAGGACGGATCGTCCCCTGCTAGTCCAGACACTGGAGACTTTATGATGGCTCCTCCTTCTGCTCCACGTCGCACACTTATTCAAGTGAGTGAACGTGAGGCGCAGTTCGTCATCAGTTTGTTTGAGAACCACGCATTACCCGCTCTCGTACGTCAAGGCTGGCGCGTACAGACAAATGCTGGACGGGGCGAGACGCGCTTCGTCTCTCCTAGTGGAGAGATATTCCCTACTCCTCTGGATGTTGTGGGACATATTGCTACGGACAACGAGCTTCTGACTGCGTGCTTCCCTGCAAACGTTCACTCCGCTATCTTGTCACTACTACCTCGTGACGCTACTTCTGCAGGGTTCAATGATACCGGTAGTAACCATAGCAGTACCGGAAGTGCATCCAGGAAACGAACAACCTCGGACTCTCCCAGTGCTGAACAATTCGATGGCAAACGTACACGACAGGCACGACAGGCACGTGAGGGAGGAATTGCAGTCCCAATGCGTGGGCGAATGAGAGGTGGCCCCGATACTGCTCTGTACCGACCTGAAGACTTGGATCGCCGTGCAGAAGCTGCCAGTCGACTCGCTGCTTATCGCGGTCAGGGAATGGGTGGACGGATTCGAATGTCAGGAGATCGGTTCGTTGGCGGTGAGACCACCAGTGGCGTTCGCATTCAAGCTCCCCCGGAGCTGCGAGGTTACCGACGCCCTTCAACCCGGGACCCAACAATGGAGAACCCG